CTTCTATAAGTCGAAAGGAGACTGCGACCATACCCGAGACCACAACATCTTGGTCTTCACATCTTCAATGCATGCTGATGCTTTTCATTAGTACGTCAGCAAGTACATTCCAGTAAATATAAATAAAAACTGGTCTTTGAAGAATTCTTCACTGCTTTATTGTAATGTGACATTCAATTTCAAAGGAAAAGTTGAATGAAAGGAATTCCTTAAATGGTTTAACTGGAAACTGAAGGAGGATTGCCACAGAGTCCTCGTTTTACCGTCCTGCGACTCCGATGAACCTGTACTAAGTTTTCGTCTGTACTGCATCCTCAAAGCAAGAATCCATACCTCACGAAATAAAGCAAAAATAAACTAAATCAAGAGTAAAGGTTAACGGCTACAATCATAGTCACTTTTTTTATACACCCATCCTCTCGACCGTAATGAAGCAATCCATGATTGGATTGGCTATTTTAAACTTACTCAACATACTTTTCCTTGATTCACTATATTGACGCACTATTTTTTTAAATATGGATTATTGCTCCGAAGATGTCTGTCATTATACAGACGAAAGATTAGCGCAGGCCGAAGACTTCTTGGCACAATCCAAAAGTCTTCACTTCGCGACAATTCTCCTTTGGTTTCCGGCGCGACCATTTCACAAATTCTTTCTAACCAACATTTCTTTCGAAATTGGAAATCATGTCACATTATTCCGAAAGACAGTTGGCCAAGAGCTACCCGCCGTCGTCTTTCGGAGGGATTCACGCTCGAATCTCTTCATCAGACAGACTTATATTTAAAATGGAAGTGAACCCAATAATTATAAGCCAAGAGATTCCTCTAAACCCAAATGTTTTTTGCTTAATGTGACTGAAGAATGTTTTTTTTATTGCTCCAATGTCGACTTGTCTATTGATAAATTGAAAAAATAGCTTGATTTTATCATTTAATTCCACTTTGCTATGCGCTTAGATTGCAATTTCCATCTCACTCCATCTCCTAAACAGTACCCCCAATAAGATAGGGACTTTGGAAGGACAGATTTAACGACGATTCGGCCACTCTCTTTATGACAGACCCTGACAAATCAGTTCAGAGCAACCCACATATTTGTCAAGGGGTCACCCGATATTTAAGGTGTATAAGAATCTCTAATTGAAGGACATCTGAATGTAGTGAGCACGTTTCGGACTAATAGTCATTCTTGAATAAGCCTAGCTTCACCAAAAGGTTTTTTTCCGAAGTAAGATTGCAGGTTTGACATCACCACCCCAAATAAGGTTCGTAACCGGGTCGTGTGTGCTAACTGTCGCTACGCTGCCACGGAACCCCGGAGGCCAGTGGTTCACAGGGCAGAATTGGACTTATAATTGGACTGCCGAAAAGTGAGTTCATATTATAGAAGTATTAATGGTTTATAAACAGCAGCATTCCGAGTATAAGTAACTTTGCTGATCGTAATGGAATGTACCAATCTGTGCATCATTGATAATCCTAGTATAAATGTGAAAGTCACATCTGCCCTGTTATTCTTAATGTCCTCGAGCCAAATTTGAATCCAGTTGAGGATGCTGATAAGGCCTGGGCGAGGACACCAAGGCTATGTAGAAAAGCAGGTTTTCGAAGGATAAGAAAGCATCTTTGATTTGATTTCAAGTGGAATTAAATGACATTGTGGAGCCCACTCACTTTATTGTTAAAGTGACTTTATTAGTATGCTGAAAATGTCTTTGGGGTGTTCAGGACAGATCTCTGGTCTTACTGTTCACATGTCTTTGATAAAATCTGGAGTTCTTGAAAAATTCTGCAGATTTCAATCTCGCCAGACTTTCAAAGACAATGGCTAGATTATGTCGTTTAGTCTACTTAAATAGTTGAGTTATTATTGCTCTAAATGCAGAGCAAATTTCAATTTTATTGTGGGCAACTTAGCTAGCAGACATTTAATAATTTAAAATAACCTATGATCGTTTTCTATCAAAATATCTGAAAAAGGTGTTAAATACTACTTAATCTGCAGTCGAGTTCCTATTTTCTGCCTTTTCATTTCTTCCGTCGTTCCGTAGAGAAAAATCTCGGAAATAAATTAATACAAATGTGAGACAAATTAAAGCTGGCTTATGTGCTTTTTGGTTTGGCTGTGCACACACACACACACGATTCTTTGGAAAACTCGCATGAAAACAGTGAGTACATGAGATGTATTCATCTTATTTAGTTTAAGGTGATAAATGAGTGATAGTTGAATTTTCCGACAACACTATGAGAAGACCTTAAGGTATAAACGAAAATAAACGAAGTAATTTGTTTGTTTAGTAATAAAATAAAGTAGGTATGAAAATCGAGATGGTGTGGCATTTAGTATGGTCGCAGTCTCCTCTCGTTGGATATAAGTTGTTCGAGCTTTTATCGCTTCTTCTATACAAATAAAGTAGTTTTCGAAACTACCGGTAGATCAGGTCACATAAAGTGATGAAGCAGTCTATACTGGATTTAGATACTTCGTAGGATGCAAAGCTAGGCGAAATTCAATGGAAACGCGGGGCGTCATATCATTGTGGTAAAATTAGTCTACCAGTCCTTTGCTACTTGGCACAACCTAGAGCGATTGGATTTATTATTACTTTGTTTAGTGTCCTTTCCGAGCTCTGACTTCCTGTTTCACAGACGCAAGCCAAGCGTGGACACGTCAAGCATAAAGAACGGTAAATCGGGGATTACTCGGCTCGGACTGAGGGCCCTCTAGCACACAGCGCCTACAAAGTCAGTACACTGAATTCCCACTTTCCCGTGGCACCAACCCAAGATACCTTTATACCTAAACCGAATAAGGACTGACATGAAAATCCCATTCGTAACATGTTCATAGGCCAATTTCAGTAAACGCGAGAGGTATTCACTCTATTTCGCTTAAGGTGCTAAAGGGACTGGAAGGTAAATTTCCCCACAATCACAAGAGTAGACTTAACGTTTCCATTGCATTTGAAATAGCTTTTCTAAAAGGTATTTTCATCCAGGGTGTGTCGAAAACTTACATAGAAACCGCAAAATTTCGAAAAGCTTTACTTTAGCTTTATCTGAATTTGCTTCACAGCTCTTACAGCAATGGCTTACATCAGAATGGCCACTACTATTCGCAAGGTCTCCTCGAGTCTTAATTTGGGGGATGGCTAGAAGAAAGCTTCTGACTTTTTTATTTATTAGGTTTTCGAGGCTACCAGTAAATCGAATAGAGGTGTTTAAGGTGATGAAAGACAACCTCATAACTCGATGCAAGTTAAGACTTTTGGGAGGGAGACCTCAGTAAAATCGCAGATGGTGTGGCATCAATTTTGGTTGACGCTAGACATTATCATGACAATCATGGAACCAGACTTCGAACAGGGTAAATTCATCTAGGCGACCCTAACAACAGGAATAAATTGCGAAAAAAAGGTCGAACTATTTCAAGAATCAGTTAAATTCACTAGAATTATGAGGCTTGTCCACTTCAATATAAACCAGTTTAACTATCCGTCCTCCTTCACCTTACGCTGCTTGGGGTGAAGCCATTAAGAACTTTTGCGAAAACCTCTTTTTTATCATATTTTATCGAAACACTTCAAGCTAGGTTAGCGGAGGAAACTCAGCTTTGCTCCAGTCTACAATTTAGGCTTGGGCTGATATGACCCCGGGACCAAAAATGATGAGTTTGCAACCCTAAATTCCACCACTTCATCCTCCTTGTTACGTATATACGTTCCCTCTTGTGACGGGTCGCAGCACGGTTCTTCTTCAGCCTTTGCTTTATCTCTACTCCTCAAGAGTGTCTACCAGATTAGAGGACCGCCGGCTCTATATTCTTTCAGCTTTGCATGAATCCAAGCGTTAAAAGGCGTCGTAGGAGGCTGGGCGTTGGTTAAACAACCTGAAGCTATTGCCACACGTGCCCCGGACACGTACAGACCTATATTTATGTGCAGACAAGAAGAGGTCTTGATTAGCGAATTTCTCAAGTTGAATGATCACTAGGCAGGGCAACACCTGAACGCAGAGTCAAGACCACGAGCCTAAACTCGGGCTGTGAACGTGCTGGTTAAGAGGTTGGGAGAAAACGGGGAAATGGAGATTCACACACATGCACACACATCCACGCATCATTACCCTGTTCTCTTTAGGCGAAGGCTAACCTGAAGGATCGTCATGCCGTGGATTAAAGTTTGATGGTAGGACTATAGAAGTCATGGAAAAGAAAAGGATTAATTATGTATGAAAATGCGGGTCAGCCATGAGACGAACAGAGATTCATAACATCCCCATCCCCATGTTCTCTTTACATTTGTCCTGCTGCTCTGCTCTGACCAGAATTCCATCTGAATTTGTCCTTGCGCCCAAGTCGAATACTCCGTTTTGGTATTACGAGTGAAGGCGGTAATCACATGCTCTTCTCTGGCATTCACATATCTAGCCCAGTTAGGCATTCGGGAAGAACCCCCAAGTTGACTCGCCCATATATCCTTCATCATGTAGAGGTAGATTGCAGCCTGCACGTAGGCCGAGATGGGTTTATACTGTCAAGACAGATATTGACTAGGCAAATATGAGCAGTTTTGGGTTTATATTTAGGGTTTCAAGACTACCAGCAGTGACGGGAGGCATTGAAGGCGTCTTGAAGGTAAGGCTAAAGCCACAACTGGATATTCGGTTGCCCCAGCGTTTTGAAAGGGAGGCAGTATGATTAAGCTGCTGATGGTTGCAAGAAAGCAGGAAGCTAATGGAAATAAGGAGTAAAGAGGGCAGTGATGTCAGCAGAACACGCAATCGACAGAGTGCCATTATGCCGTCACTATGGGCAATTTAAGGATAGTCGCAATTCTAACACAGAATAGGCCCAGACTATTATCAACATGGCCGCTGTGGTGTATGAGTCAGTCTACCTTATCATAATATTAATAATAATTAGTAGTAGTAGGAGGAGTATTATTATTATTATTGCATGGCTAACATGTCGGATACGATGGTGTTTAATCATGGCCGTAAATACATGCCAGGAGTCGATAGGGGGGAGACAAAATCTTGGTTGTTTAGGTTTTAAAGTCTATTTGGGAGAGAAGAGCAAAAAGGCCAGACAAGGTTGAGCACAAACGATCTCGTTGCTATCTTACTGGATTTACAGAAAGAATATCTCCGCAAATTGACGCTGTTTAGAAGCGAGCCCTGCTATGGATGTTGATAGAAAATCATGCTATATGTAATGAGGATGTTTCGAGGCTGAGAAAATATTGAATAAGTATATTATTCATTGCAGATTACAGAAGAGAGTGGTAGTTAAATTTTCTTATTCACCATGAACGCGAATCAGGCGAGGCCTAGCTCGTCCTGAAATTTACATAAGACACACCACGTCACGTCACGTCACATCACGACATCCATTTTCTCTTAATGAATCAACTTTACCCACATTCAAGCACTTAGGGTAAGCAAGAAGTAGCTAAACAAATCATATGCTATGCGAAGAAAGTGGGTTTTAAAGAACGCCCTAATAGCTTAAGGTTTGTCGAGATATTATTTCGTTTGAAGATGTGAGTGGAAGCGATCCATAAATTAGCCATGTTTAAAGTCATGGCTAATGCAAATGGGTAGCCGAGTGGTTAGCGTGTCAAGCTCCCGTCCTGCACTATCGCGGTTCGACTACCGCTGAGGGTGTTGATAAGACCGATGCAGATCGAAACTGCAGTCCACTGGTGCGTGG